CTGGCTAATTTTTGATTTATTGTAGAGATGAGGTCTCGCCAAGTTGCCCGGGTGGGTCTCGAACCCATGGGCTCAGGCAATCCATTAGCCTTGGCCTCCCAAAGTGCTGGGATTACAGGCTGAGCCACCAAGCCCGGCCTTGATTTTTTTTTTAAAGAGACGATGTCTCGCTATGTTGCCCAGGCTGGTCTCGAACTCCTGGATTCAAGTGATTCTAAGAAATGTTGATGTGTGATGGTACAGGTCCCTGGCTCTGGGTGGGCTGGGCCAGGCGGGGGGCTCACCAGGCTGCCCCTTACTTGATGGGGTAGGTCTCATCCTTTCGCCTCTGCCTCTCATGCAGTGGGAGCGCCTCCCAGCCAAAGGTCAGACTCCAGTCAAAGTTGCCACGGCTGTGGACTCGGCCCCTCTGGACAGGCTTGGAGAACTCGAAAGTGTTCAGGTCGATGGTGATGATGTCTGGGCTCACCACTGCTGTCTTGTCCTCAGCAATCCGGGCCAGAAGGGGCTCCAGCCAGCCGTGGAAGCACTCGCCTGTAGGCCCCGACCCGGAGGCAACATCAGGGTCCTGCCCACAGCTGAGCCCAATCCCCACCAGGGGTAAGGGTGACCCAGAAGGATAAGAGGGGTTCTCCACCCACTCCCTGCTTGACCGCAGAGAAACACAAGCAAACGCCACAGCTGCAGGGAACAGAGAGATTTACTGAAACCCTCTTGCCACCCCCCACCCCCGAAGGTGGAGGCAGCGCTGGAAGGGAGAGTGGAAGTCTCGGGGGAGTAACATGGTCAATCAAAGGATCCAAATGCACAGGGAAGGCCTGGTGGACATCCTCAGGGCTTCCACCTTCCCCACCAAGCTCAGGTTTCAGCCCCAACTGCAGAAGAATCATAATCCCTTTCCTTTGTCTAGCCCTTTGAGGGTCTCAGTGGTCTTTGGAACATATTATCTCAGAGTAATAATTATGATAGGAGAATAGGGTTTGTATCCTCATTCTCATTTCACAAATAAGGAAACTGAGGCTCAGTTCGTGGCAGAGTGAGAATGTAAACCAAGCCAGGCGCAGTGGCTCACGCCTGTAATCCCAGCACTTTGGGAGGGTGAGGCAGGAGGATTGATCGAGCCCAGGAATTCAAGACCAGCCTGGGCAACAGCGAGACCTGGTCTCTAAAAACCCCCAAACTGGCCTGCAATCTCAGCTTCTCAGGAGACTGAGGCGGAAGGATCACTTACTAAGCCCAGGAAGTCAAGGCTGTGGTGAGCTGTGATTGTGCCACTGCACTCCAGCCTGGGCAATAGAGACCCGACTCAAAAAAAAAAAAAAGGATGTAGCCAGGTGCTGT